TCCAAGGATTCTTCTTGCTCATGGTTTTGCTCAGCCAGGTATCCCCCATCTTGTAACTGTGCAATTGGTTTCTTTTTCCAAGGTGCAGTATCTTGCACTTATCTCTGTTGAATTTCATTCTGTTGCTTTCAACCCAGTGCTCAATCCTATCAAGGTAATTTTTAATTTTGTTTCTGTCTTCTAGGGTATTAGCTATTCCGTCCAAGTTGGTATCATCCGCAAATTTGGCAAGCATTCCCTACACTCCCTCACCCAAGTCATTAATAAAAATATTGAAGAGCACCGGGCCCAGGACTGAGCCTTGGGGTTGTTACCTCCTCCCAGTTAGAGAAGGACCCATTCATCATCACCCTCTGAGTACGATTCTGTAGCCAATTGTGTATTCACCCGACACTTGATCTATCTAGCCCACATCTAGTTAGTTTGCTAATCTGGATATCATGGGGCACTTTGTCAAAAGCTTTGCTGAAGTCAAGATATATTACATCTACAGCATGTCCTCTGTTTACCAGGAAGCTTACCTGATCAAAAAATGAGATCAAGTTAGTTTGGCAGGATTTGTTCTTGACATGTGATGTCAAGTCAATTCTGACTGATTGTGTCCCTCAGGATTTTTCAGGTAGGTAATACTCAAGAGTGGTTTATCACTGTTACACTTTTTACCCTTTACCTTTACCCTTCTTCTGGGGTTATCTTGGGACTGAGCAAGTTGCCCAAGGCTACACAAGCTGGCTCTATTTCCAGGAAGCACCATGGGGAATTGAACTCCCAACTTGTTCTGCAGCCAGATAATAAAAACCACTGAGCTATCCTGCCAGCTTGTTTGTAAATAACAAACAATAAAAAGCGTAATGTAGGTTATATGAAATGTGTAGTTCCTGCTGTCGAGTTGGTCTTATAGCAAAATGAGGCAGCTGCCTGAGTGGCAAATGTTGGGGAATAGGTGATGTTGGTGACACTGGCGGCAGCAGAGATGAGTGTGTCATATGGACATTATTGGACCACATCCACCGCCAAGGACAACTCCCAGTCTGATTGGCTTCAGTATATGGAATGGAAATGGCACTGTATCATTAATTTTCTTAGGCAGCAATTCTATCCAGTCCTGGCTCTGTCTTTTTCATTTGTCTTTTGACACTCCAGCATTTTGCTAATACCTCGTCAGGTTTCTTGCACAACTCTGTGACAAAAACTTCCAAATATTACTTGTTAAAGTTTGCCAAGAAAGGTGCCTATAGAGCTTCTACAGTTCCCCTACTAGCATGGCCTAGAATCCTGGGAGCTGTCGTTCCAGACAGTAACCAGTCTCAGTCCTTGTCTCAAAATGCAGCCCTACTAGAAAAGGTATTCTTGTCATCAAGGAAAAGAAGAGGTGGGTGCTCGGACAGATGAGAGAAGGATTCCAATTATCTCAGGAAACATTATGAGGAATCTCTAGGAGTTTATACAAATAATAAAACTGCTATTCTAAAATGTAAATCCTGTTTAGTTTAATGAGGCACACAACTATGTTATAGTGAAATGATTTCACTGTAAACCTCTAGAGGAAAAACACTTGAGTTGAGGAACAGAACCTTCTCATACCATTTGCTGTATGAGTCAGAGAAGAGCTGATAAAAGTCATATCTTCAAAACTGATAAACAAGCTTCAAGGAAATCCCTTGTGTGCCACATAGTTTTCATTCATGTATAAATATTTAAAGAACAGCTAAGGCTCTTTTTTTATATGAAAATTCTTAAATGTGGGTTGAGGGGCAGGAATTGGCATAATGTAAATAAAATTAAGCACTGTTAATTGATTTCATCTTGAGAAGAATGGTTCAGTCTAGCAAACAAGATTTTGCAACTCTTTTAGGTTCAGCAAGATCACGTTGAGACCTAATTTTTATTACTTTTAGAGTTACAGTACTTAATTGGTGAAGTCATCAACAAACATTTCAATTGATTAATGAGGCTATAGATTTAAGCACACATACCACAAAATAAGATCAGCAGTTTGAATCCACGTGGTGGAGTGAGCTCCCATCACTTGTCCCAGCTCCTGCCAGCCTAGCAGTTCGAAAGCATGTAAAAATGTGAGTAGATAAATAGGTACCACTACGATAGGAAGGTAACGGTGTTCCGTGTCTACTCGCGCTGGCCACATGACCATGGAAACTGTCTATGGACTAATGCTGGCTCTATGGCTTGGAAATGGGGATGAGCACTGTGCCCTAGAGTCGGACATGACTGGACATTTGTGAAGGGGAACCTTTTCCACTTAAGAGCCAAAAAATAAGATGAGATTTACTTCTAAGCAAAGGAGTTTAGGATTGCACCAAGGAAATAGCTTTATTGATCCTCACTTCCAAGTTACCCTCACCCGCACACAACCAGGCAGTCATTTACCATACTTAATCCATTTTGGAACAGCATTTGTACGTCGAAAAGTTTGTCGAAAAGTACGTTGAAAAGTCTTTCTTCTCCCTAGACTCCTGCATCTATCCAGAATGCCTGCCAGTGATTTAAATGACTGTACAACTCCATACAATATCAAGATGGAGTGATGGAAAATGGTCTACCTGTGGATCCTCTATCTGTCCCGCATTTTTCTACAGCACAGGGTGCCTGCAAAATTAGGTTGGCAGCTAGTTCTTCTGCAGTGCTGCTTGCTGAGGCTACTGATTTACTCCACACCCCACATCAAGCTCAGTGGCCAAAATCCTGTTGCTTACTGCACTAAATTGTACTTGAGTAGGCCCATTTAGTGAATCATCTCCTCTAACTTCCATTGATTCAAATGGGTTTACTCTGATTATAATTCAATGTGTTTAAGCATGCTGTCATTAGACTAGGCCATTTGAATCAATGGAACTTACAGAGGACTTGACTAACTAAATCCCCATTGCTTCAGTAGACCTACTCTAGTGCACTTTACAACACTAAGCAACAGGATTTTGGCCAGTGAAAAGGGTTGCTTTCTGTTCATCAGATGGCTGGCAGACAGGGAATCAACTGGGACAGGAAAAACAAAGCTGTGTGGTCTTTACACAGTAAATTACTGATAACAGATAACTGAATAAGTAAAGCAAAAAAACAAAAAAAAACAAAAAAAAACAAAGCCTGGTGAGAACTCTAAGAGTAAGAGATTTGTTTTGCATTAACTTTCATAATTACAATCCACTTTTTCAGATGTCAAAGATCTCCAAAAAATGGATTACAATCCACAAAAATCTACAAAAGCTGACAGTAATCCACAGAAAATTCACATTAAAACAAATTTGTTAGCTTGGAAAAGTGGCCCAAGACTGTGTTTTGTTTATTCTATCTCTTTTGTTTGCATGCTAGAAACACACTAAAGCAATTGCCTTAACAAATAACTTAATGTTTCTAGTAAAGAAATGCAATGAGGAAACACATCCGCTCAGAGAGAAAATTACCAAGGAGATGAGGACTAGCCAAAATATTTAACAGAACATCACATGCACAGCTTTCTGGCTGCTGAGAAGGAGTTGCATAGGTGCGTGCTGAGTGGAACGAACTCCTGCCTCTCCAGAATTGTGCTTGTTTCACTGAGGCCAAAGTCACTATCAAGGAAAAGCCGAGACACGGGGAGGTTGGGGCAAAGAAATTAACTGGAGCAGCAAAGGCTTTAGAAGCTTCCTTTCTTCCAGTGAGCTGAAAAGCAGCGAGGAAGGCTCTGTTCTTCTCCATATTTATCCCCACAACAACCTTGTGAGGTAGATCAGCTTAAAGAGGCTGACTGGCAGAACTTGGAAGAACAGGGAAATTATCCCATACGAGAAGAGACTCTATGGGGGCCCCATCCTTCTCTCTTTCTGCCTTTTCTGAAACTCGAAGAGGTTCTTTTTAGCGGGAAGAGGGAAGACTACCCAGTGGCATTGCCTGCTTCTGACAGAGTTGGAATTAAATGGAAAGGGAGAAGGAAGACCCCTCCCCCCATATTGCCTGTGACTGTCTTCCATTTTAAGAGATGGGCCATAAATTCCAAACTGCTAGCTGAGAAGGAGCTCGAAATCAACATGCATGCTGCAGCTGTTTCCATCTAAGAAGCTAACCTGGCCTCTCTACACCATCAGCCATGTGAATCTGGGACATTAACACAGCGCAAAAGGTTGGATCTGCCCGCAAGAATTTCATGCACAGCCTTGAAGACAATCTATCATTGAAAACTTGCTGTTTGTTTCTTTGTTTTATATTCTTAATGGTTGATTAAAGGTATCACCTGCTCCTGCATTTGTACCATCTCTCTCCAGTTCTACCTGACATGTATTAAAGCCAAGGGATTGTGGGGGTTTTTATGTCCATTATTTTTTAAAAATAATTCCTGTTGTGAAAAACGGTACTGTTAATTTATATGAAACGCTGTTGAAAAACTTGGAGGTGGGGGCCAAACAAACAAAAAAAGAAGTGGGGAGAAGTAAGTCTCTGTTCAAAGAGTTTACAATCTGGACGTCTGGGAGGAGGAGGAAGAAGGGAAAGAATTGGGGTGGGGTGGGGGACAGGGCAGAAAAGGGAGGCTTTGGTCAAGAGAGGGAACAACTGATGAAATGAGGATTTAAACCAAAAATGTTGATTAACAATCCCCATTATTATACATCTCATTTGTTTGCTTGATTTTTGCTGTGTAGATAACCAAGATGCTTTAAAAAGTGAAAGCTTCTTGAATCCTAACCTGAAATCAAAAATAGCAGTTCATCATCATCATCATATGCTGCGGTTTTAAAACAATAACAATAAGCTACTTGTGTCGTTATTGTTGTTGTTATTCAAAATCACATTGCACAAAAACCAAACTTGCAACCCATCTTTGAAATAGAAGCTTTGCCAAATCAGCCAACCTACTAAAATGATTTTGTAGGACCGTGAAGGTCTTTGTAAACTGCCTGCCTGCAGAATGCTTTCTCCTTTCTCCGTTTTCCAAGGTTACAGGGCCGGCTGTTTTAGCAAAAGAGCAGGAGCGGCCACACCTCTCGGACGCAAAGATCCTGGCGACCAAATAAATAAATAAAAAGTAGCCGTTGCCCCGGGCCACAGACGACAACTCGGCCAGCGATACTCAACAAGACTCAGGCGTAATGGAAGACGTGATCGTTTCAACGAGGCTCCGTGCAGGATTTTTGGCAGGCGGGAAATCGTAATATGGAGCAGCGTTCAGAAAGCTAGTAGGCGTGACTGTAAGGACATTCCGATGAGCGGCTGGAGAAAGAAAGAAAAAACCCCACAAATTCTAGGATTAACTTGAAGTTTCTTCCCCAGCTTGCGTTATGTCCAGCTGATGTAACACAGGAAGAAACTCCTCGAGCCAGCATTCAGGGTAATCATCGAAAGATTAAATGCTTTCTCCACAGGGACAGGCTCATCATATTTAAGTGAGTAAGATATGTGACTAGAATTTTGCTAGGAAATAAAACTTGAAACTCAACCAGGTCTTGCAGCAATGTTTGCCCGATGGGATGAGGGGAGTCACCGTCAGAAATTGGGCAGCTTTCTGTCTTTGTTCTGCACGCCTGGGTTTATTTAAGTTCAACGTGTACTGGGTAGAATCATACCTAAGGTTGCAAAGAGGCTGAAGGCCAGCGGCATGTTCACTGGAGGATCTACAGTACTTATCATCATCCCTAAGGGATGATTGCTTCCCAGCCTTTGTTTAAATACTTCCAGTGGAAGGAACCAACAAACCACGGGTCAGTCTTTTCTACTTTCGAGCAGCTCTGATCTTTAGGAAGTGTTCCCTCATGCCTTTCCAAAATCTGTTTCCCTGTTACTTCCACCCATTGGTTCTAGTCCTGCCCCATGGGGCAGCAAAGCATTAGTCCAAGTTGACAGGCGACAGGACACAGGGCCAAAGGGTTAAAACTCATTGCTTGTAGTTTGTTCTCAACAGTTAATACATTCATCACATAACTGGCATTTATAGAGTGCACTGGATATCTTATTCAGCTTTTGGAAAACACTGTGGGGCCTTACTCCTAGGTGTGTTGGCTCCAAAGGCAAGGTCTTGGCAGGCTGAGAAACAAAAGAGGCCTGGCTGGGGCAGTCTAGAATTGGAGTGAGAGCAATGAAAAAAAGGCTAGCAGATAGAATCCTATGGGAGATCCAAATGCAAAATCATAGCACAATCCAGAGTCAAGCCAGTAATGCTAGGAAACAGAGTCGAAAAAGCTTAGTCAAGCAATGGGGGGCGGGGGGGGCATCATACATGACGGGATCAGGGCAAACAAATCTAGAGCAAAAAGAGGCATTGTTTCCCACAACCTACCAGTCCCAGATAAAGGTTTACATAGCCAAGCTGCTGGAGCTCCACCAAGAGTTGGCACTTAGCCAGCTGGGAAGGAAACGCAGCTGCAGAATTTGGCCCACTAGTATTCTTGGGAGGAACAACTTTTCCTCAAGGAGATCTCTTCTTCTGAGGGAAACCTCTTCAGAGAAATCATTTCCTACGGCTGAGCACTTCCCTTGGGGCCTTCTAGCTTGACTCCTACTTTTATTCTCAGGTATTTCAGTGGTGCAGGAGGCTGTCAAACCTTCTCTTTTGACTCAGACACAGAGTCTTTCTACTGGCGGTTCAGGTTCTAGGGTTCCTGAAGGCCTAGTGTCTGTAGGGCCAAGCAGTTCCTTCCAGTTCTCAAATTCGGTGCATTCCGACTGGTCCTTTCTAGAGTACAGTATTAATCCAGCAGGGACCCCCACACTAACATTTTCTCTGAGGAAGAGCACTTGGAAGTAATATGCTTACTCTGAGTGGTGAGTTTGAGTCCTGTCAGCAATAAATACGAATAGGAAGTTTCGTACACTTCCAGCAGCAAATTTTGACATCATGGGTCCAAGCTTTCTCAAGAACCACACCTCCCTTTATGGAGCCTACCTAGGTGTTCAGATCATCAGGGGAAGTCTTTCTCTAGGTGCCACTACCCTCACAGGTGTGTTTGGTGCAGAGACAAGAGAGCGCCTTCTCTGTTGCTGCTCCCAGACTTTGTATCTCTCTCCCACAAGAGGCCAATCTGGCCCCATCTTTGCTGTCCTTCTGCAAGCAAGCAAAGGTCTTTCTCTTCGGGCAAACTGTCCCTCAATTAATGGCCGTCTGAGAGGGGATTTTTAATGGATGGTAGCACCTTGCTGCTTTGAATGTGTTTATGTTTACTATTCCTTAGTTTGATATTTGTTTGATCCTCTTTAGTATTTGTATACTTACTGGTTTTGACTTTAAATGTTGTCTTTTAATGAGGTAAGCCACTCTGAGTCCTTCTTAAAGAGAAGTGTGGGCCAATATATTTTAAATAATAAATGAAAATAAAAAAAATGCTAGTCACCCTCCTCTAGTTATGGCCAGTGTATTGTCAGCAGTGCAGCACTTGGTTTGTGGGTTTGAGTGGCCTTTTCAGGGAAGCTGAGGGTGTATCTGCCATTTTTATTGCTCTGGGATTGTCTATTTTAATTTTATTTCAGTTATTCCAGGCTTCAGCACAGCCATTTTGCTAGTTTTTTTAACCATAGCATCCCCACCCCACTGAGCACAGTTACCATATCGGGTTTCTCAATAAAGGGCATTGGTGCATTTTTAATAATATGATTAATTAACGTACATGAGCATTGTTATACCAGGACTGGCTACAAATGAGGCAGCCAGAAATATAAAGCACTTTAAAATTCCTAGAACCTGAAAGAAACAAAAACCTGACAAATAATTTATTTTCATTCTTTAAAACCAAATGGCCCTGGTAAGGAAGGTAGGTAGAGAGGTTTGTAGCAAATGTTTTTTGTCACATTTATGAAAAAAATCGAAATAGTTATCTCTTGGGTTATTATTATTGTTATTTTGGAGGGGTGTGAATTCAACCAATTGGCAGATTTCTAAGAAAATTCAGAGTATCGTTAACTCTACTCACAGCCCTAGAAGTATCACACAGCTTGATATATTTTTTGAAAAGTTGTCATGAATACAGTCAAAGCAATTTCCACAGCAGGTTCTAAGCATATCTTTTTCTGTGCTATATGACAATGATGCTTGTAAATCCACATCCTTGACTGACTCACAAGACAATAGGACTTCCACTAATTCAAGAGAGCATCCCTCAAGCATGACCTGCTAGTGTCAAGGACTTTCATCTCCACAGTTATCTTGAAAGCTTATTTAGAGATGATAGGCCTATTAAAGAAAGCAGTTAGCAAAAGACAATATTTGCAGAGTGTTCAGTCCAAATGTATTTACTCTGCCTCCAGTGGCAAAATATATCCAACTTCATGCCTTCATTTTTACATTCTCCTTAACTCCCTGTGGCCCTTCTATCTCTTAAGCCTGATTCACACATGCGTGTATACCAATTGATTCCCCCCCCCCAATTAATTACATGGTACTTTCTGATTCAAAGGTGCATGGGCTGTGTGAACGGACCCTAGAAAAGTAGTGCATTTAGGGACAATATGAGGTGAGATGGCTGTCTTTCAGGGTTTGATTTGTGGCTACTCAGACTTTTAGAATGGCACATGATGCATCACTCATATGTGGTGTGTGTGTGTGTGTGTGTGTGTGTGTGTGTGTGTGTGTGTGTGTGTGTGTGTGCAAAACAGACATAAATTTGGAAACTCCAAGGACCAAACTATACAATATAAAGATGTGTGCCATGTGTTGTCCTGTTGGAATTGACTTATAGTGACTCTAATAGGGTTTTGAGTGAGATATTTATAGAATGGCATTACCAGTTTCACACCCACAAGTTTAGAAGACATTTGAACCCGGAGTTCTGGTACCTGGTCCATCACTCTATTCACTATACTGCATTGTGCTAATATAGATAGTTTGTCATTATAAGCTGAAATCTATAGTGTTCCAGGGATATATTTTCATGTTTAAGCAATCATACTTGTGAATGAAGCTTGTGGTGCCTTGACTTATGAATGTCTTGACTTGTGACCAATTCAAGTTACGACTAATTCTGGTCACAAAATTTTGCTTTGACTTGTGATCAGCGCTTTGAGATATGGCCGGAAACAAGGCTCCCTCCCTTCCTCCTTTCCCGCCCTTTTTTAAACCTTAGAGGTCATCTTAGGTTAAAAAAAAGTCTCCCCCTAGTGGACGGATTAACTGCTGTTGCATTAATTCCTATGGGAACTAATGCTTTGAGATACAACCAACACCTCGAGATACAACCAAAATCGGCCATAATGGATTAATCATGTTTGTGTATTCCTATGGGAAATGGTGCTTTGAGTTATGACTAACTTGAGTTATGACCATCATCCCGGAATGAATTAAGTTCGCAACTCAAGGCATCACTGTATTTACCTCCCGATAAAAAAATTAGCTTTTTTCTAAAAGAAAAAAGCTAATTTGCAAGCTGGAGGAGATGTGGAATGCTCATGTTGTGATAATCAGAGGTTCTCAGCAGTTGGAGAATTCCTTCTTCTTATGATGGGTTGCTGGTAATATATAGTTTAGCCCTGAGAGCTTATTTGTATTTATTAATAGTCCTGAAACACGAATGAGAAAATATTAACTCTCTGAATTTATGTTGAGAAGGAGTGCAATTTTCATTAGAGAGCTTCTTTGTAAGTAGCAGGTGCTCACATAAGCTGGACTTCCCCAAGTTGGTTGCCTCCTGAGGTGTTGATCCAACACCCACGATCACCAGAAGGGCCAGCTTTATGGGCAGACAAGCCCAGTAGTTGCCCTGGATGTCAAATAAAATGGGTGTGAAGATGAACTTGGAGGCTCAAAGTTTGTTGACTGTACTGTCTGCAGTAAAAGCAATTAAAGGGAAAATAGAAAACAAAGAACAAAAACAAGATAGGTTTGTCTGGCATTTTAAAGACCAACTCATTCCTAGACTGCAATCCATTTCATCAGATGCATGAAGTGCTGTCTGAAATTTCAGGTGTACACACAGTGTAGGTAATCCATGAAAACTGACACTTTTGTAAGTGCAGTGCCATCAAAAAAACTCTCCTGCCACCTGAGGTGGGAAGAGAAACTCTGCTGCACTCTACCCCCAACAATACTCACCGTGACTGGGGAGCAGTAGCAGAAGAAGGTGTCATTCTGGCATTCCTTCCAATCGCCAGCCTACGTACCATGGGGTCTCCTTGCATTATCAAGGAAAAAAAAGTAATTAATGACATGGCCGGCCATGTAGTGGCCAGGTGGGTGGTGACAGCAGGGAGAAAGAGGCTGGCCTGGCAGCAGCCACTGCCTCAGGCACACTGCCTCCATCTGGCTATTAGGCAGCCCTGACTTTATAAATTGGTTAGTCTTTAAGGTGTCATTAGACTCTTAATTGTTTGAGACACAACAAATTAACTGGGCTGCCCCTTTGGACACAATTCTCTCCCAACTCCAAATGTTCCACAGGTGGTTAGGCTACTAACTGCAAAA